CCCCCGAAATCCGCCTCTGATCCCTCTTCAAATAATCCTGGATCTGCCCCGATTCCAAATTAAAAAATTAAAGTAAATTAGTACTTTCTCAGTCATTAAACCTATAAAATGTGTGCATTGAACTTTAAAATAGTTGGTGTCCTTTGAAAACATGTAAAATATTGGCTATGGCAATGTTCAAATTTTGTTGAACACTGATATACACCACAATACGAAAGGGCAGGCCCGGAAATGTGTCTCTTGTCTTTTTTTTTTTTACTGTTATGTGATGCGTTCGACTAAAAGGGACTTTTAACAGGTTTATAGGCCTATAAATGTCACTGCCAAGCCTGAACGAGTCACCTACTAGGAATGCTTGGAAGCCAATCACGACTATAGGCCTATATGTCATATTTACATTAAGGGCGCAAGCTTCTGTACACACAGACAGTCGATAAACGACTTATCGATTTTTATAACCACGTGTCGGTGACGTTTACACTCCCCTAGTTGAAAACAAACATTTGTCATCCACTTGTAATAATGGAAGAATTATACGACAAAGGCCAGCACCCCCCCCCCCCCAAAAAAAAAAATGGTATAATTAGCAATACGAAATTTAACTAAGCAATTTACCATCACTGAGAACTGTATTAAACAAACTGTTGACCATTTATAGTGAAAAGGCTCTGGTGAAAATGATATTTAAATGAGAATCACCTGGATAAAGTGTTACGATTGGGTTTTTTTAATTAAGTCAAGAAATGAGGGTTCTATAGGTGGGTAGTTATCACAGTTCACGGGAAATATAATGATCAATTCACAAATAACAGTAAATAAAACTTGATTCATATCTCATTGATAATGCAAGTCGAAAGGTCTGAAAATCAAGAAAGGGGGAGAATAAAAACCCACATTCACAAGTCACGGGCGTGGGGTGCGTCACCGATCACCCTTCAAAATATGAGCGTTTCAAGCGTTTCAGGAGGTAAAAAGTGGCTTTCACGGGTAACGGTCGGAAAATACCCTTCTAAGTGGAAAACATGGAATTAGCAGGGCATTAAGGAAAAAAGCTGCGTTTAAATAATAAGTATCATACAGACTTCGCATGTCGAGGTTCAATGTGCATTGCAAATTACATGAACGCACTGATTACCTCCTCCAAGGAGATACGTTTTCTCCTCCCGTTTGTTTGTTCGTCATCATCCTAACGCGGAAAGTTATCGGTGGATTTTGATGACATTTTCATGATACGTGTGTAGGTTACATACGGGCTTACTTATAACTGAGAAAATTAAGGTTAATTATTAATCAATTAATGCAGGCCCGTAGCCAGGGGGGAGGGGGGTCGGGGGGTTCGAAAGAACCGCCCTTTTTGTCGGGAAAAGGTCCATTCTGGGTAAAATTTGATCTAGGTACAAAGAGGTTTCATTGGACAAGGTCCACTTATTCAGAAAAAGAACCCCCCTTTTGAAACTGCTGGCTACGGGCCTGTGATGGTTAATCTTCAGTCAATTATAAGTTAATTAACCTCTCTGCTGGAAACATGATGCAAAAAGTAATGGAGAGATGGTGACGAAATTTTCTGGAAAGGTCGGGAATAGGTACTTTTGGGGAACCCAAAAGGAGGTGGATATTTGTAGCTTCTTAATTAGTTCATTAATTAGTTTACCAATTTATTAGTAAGTTATTTAAGTAACTAACCATTATGACGAGCAATTAATCAGTTAGTTAATAGTACATTAGACAAAGTGAAGATTGAATTAATTTGTTGAATAACTAATTTACAAAAGAATGCACTCTCCGAGTGCTATTCTAGTCAACTGAAAAAATTATCACCATGTTAAATGGCTTATGTTGCACTTTTTTGAGACTTAAAAATAACCTAAATGCTTTATTCTAATATATTTGCCTTCAGTCCACATCTTTGTCACATATCATCAATCATTGACTGCATTAAGTTTACCAATTCACAGCCCAAATGACTTAATCTTACCAAATGGAATTATTGCAAGTTGTCTTTTTTTTTTTTTTTTTTGGGGGGGGGGGGGGGGGTC